AAAGTATGTATACATTAGTTTTAGATGAGAAAATGCCTAAAATAGTAATAAGTAGGTGAGGGTTGTGAGATTGTTTCCATTTTTCTTTTTTTTTTTTTTTGATACAGAGTCTCACTTTGTGATCCTCGGTAGAGTGCCGTGGTGGCTCACAGCTCACAGCAACCTCCAACTCTTGGGCTCAAGCGATCCTCTTGCCTCAGCCTCCCAAGTAGCTAGGACTACAGGCATCGGCCATAACGCCCGGCTATTTTTAGTAAAGACAGGGTCTCACTCTTGCTCAAGCTGGTCATCAACCCCAGCGCTCAGGAAACCTACCCGCCTCGGCCTCCCTCAGTGCTGGGATTACACGCCTGAGCCACCGGGCTGGCCATGCTTCTGTAATTTTTAAATATTTTTCCCCATGTTCCAGACTTTCTGTAATTTTTGTGTATTTTATTAAAAATTAAAATGCGGAAAAGATTCGACACACCGTTCCACTGTGGAAGCAGCTGGCTTCACAGGACGCAGAAAGGCCAAAGAGAGAACTGACTGCTTTCGAGACGTCCTGGGGAGGCTCCAGGGTTCAGGCTCCGCGTGCGGCGCGTTCGGCCCGGACCGCACGCCTGGAGGGGGCGCCGGTCTCGGCGAAGGCTGCGTCCTGCCGGCTCTTCCCGTCCCAGGCACTTCATGGGACAGCAGTAAAACAATACTCGTGTTTTATGTGAGATGGAAACTTCACTGGGCGTCCTGTATTTCAGTTCGTTCAGCCTCGTCGCCTGACCTCGCTCTTCGCCCACCTCCCCTCCTCCGGTCTCCCGCCACCCAGAGCCCCTATTCCCCCGCACGCCCCAGGCCCGCGTCCCTCCCACAGATGGCACGTCCCAGCTGCCGGGCCCGCCGACGCGGGTCACTCACCCTCGCCATCTCGGGCACCCCTCGCCGGCCCGCGCAGGCCGAGGCCCCCTCGACCCCGCGCTGCGGTTCCGGGTTTCCCCGCCCCCAGCCCGAGGCGCCCAGCCCGCCCCAACCCGCCGGGCGCGGCGCGCAGGCGCAGGCGCGGAGGGCGGGCGCGGGCAGAATGGGGACCCCAGCCCCGAGCCCGCCGAGCGCTGCCGCCTGAACCCGCGCCCGCCAGCCCACACCATGCTCAAGTGCATCCCTCTGTGGCGCTGCAACCGGCACGTGGAGTCGGTGGACAAGCGCCACTGCTCGCTGCAGGCCGTGCCCGAGGAGATCTACCGCTACAGCCGCAGCCTGGAAGAGCTGCTGCTCGACGCCAACCAGCTGCGTGAGCTGCCCAAGGTGAGCGGCCGCCGCACCTGCGCCTCGACGGCGCGGCCTAGCCCTCAGTCTCCAGATCGGCAGAGTCTGTCTGCTAGCCACGCAGCCTGCAGCCGGCCCTACTAGTTTCCACTGGCCAGAGCCCCACCCTGGCCAGCTCCACCCTACCCCCATACGACTGGGCTGGCACCAAGTGGCAGCGGTCATCAGTTGCCTGCCTGGGGCAGGGGTGGTCCCTGAGCCCAGAAGTGGAGCGTCAGAGTGAGACCTGTGAGGGGAGGGTTCGTGGAGGTGGAGGGATCAGGGCGGAAGGTGGTGGCTGGCGGACGTTGCTTGCTGGGCTGCCCTGGCCTCCTCCCTGGGCTTCTCTCTCTTACTTCTTGGGTGCAGGGTGGTATGTGGAGCCCACCTGAGGCGTCCAGCCCTGTGAGGCGCCCAGCCTTGTGAGGCTTGCTCTGCCTCTGCTTCTCTGCACTCTTGTTCTTTCTGATCAGTTGGTTTTCCTTTTCTGGAGGTGGAGTGCTAGTGCTCTGGTGTGCAGGGTCTATGTACCACAAAGGCTGTGACCTTAAGTAGTCCTAGCTGACAGCTCGTCTACCAGGGTCATCTGCAAGTGCCATGTTTTTTCTTGCACATGGCCCCACATGCATCTGTGGTACTTTGCTTTTTATGTTACTGGTTATTTGAGGATTGTTTGCTGAATCCTCATCTTGGGCTCAGGCCAGGCTCCTTGCTGGGGTGTGGAAGCAGGAGCCAGCATGGGTGGAGTCTTGAGTTGACTGTAGGGTAGGGGATGCCCTGTCTGGTCCCAGGAAGCAGTTTCTCCCATACAACATGACAAGAGGCCTGGATGAGATAACAGGTTGGGAGTGGGTACAGCAAGTGTGTCTGCTGTGTGCTTCCCGCATTGCAAACAGCATTGTCACAGCTGGATTCCAGGACCTGATGTGATCTGGAGCAGGCAGAGGCCCAAGGACCATGACTATGAGTCTGTGTGTCCAGGAGCTCTTCTCGGTTCTATAGGAACCCCTGCTACAGAGCCTGTCCCCTCTCCCTTGACCCTGCCTGCAGCCCTTCTTCCGGCTACTGAACCTGAGAAAGTTGGGCCTGAGTGACAACGAGATCCAGCGGTTGCCTCCTGAGGTGGCTAACTTCATGCAGCTGGTGGAGCTGGATGTGTCCCGGAATGGTGGGAGCCTGGGTGGAGGCGGGATGGAGCCTGGGGCACAGCTGGTGGGACTGTGGACCTCCTGGAGGCCACAAGCATCTTTCTAGAGTGGTTATCTGTTACAGACATCCCTGAGATACCTGAGAGCATCAAGTTTTGCAAGGCTTTGGAGATTGCAGACTTCAGCGGGAACCCCCTTTCTAGGTGGGTAGCAGGCACGGCAAGGGACTGTAGCAGGCTGTGGAGGTCCTGCAGCCTTGGCCTGGAAGTGTCAGGTCCTCTGCTTCCTCCTGCACAGGCTCCCTGATGGCTTTACTCAGCTGCGCAGCTTGGCTCACCTGGCCCTGAATGATGTGTCCCTGCAGGCACTTCCTGGGGATGTGGGCAAGTGAGTGTCTTTCTGGGGTGGAATGGGCAGGGAAGGGCTTGAGTTGGTCCTGCCCCTGCCTTGCTCTCATGTTGGTTCCTGGTCTGTCTTTCAGCCTCGCCAACCTAGTGACCCTGGAGCTCCGGGAGAACCTGCTCAAGTCCCTGCCTGCGTGAGTGTGCTGGGTGGAGCTGCAGCCTGGGGCCCGGCCACGTGGCCACACTATACAGCTCTGTGTCCTCTGCAGGTCCCTGTCGTTTCTGGTCAAGCTGGAACAGCTGGATCTGGGAGGCAATGATCTGGAAGTGCTGGTGCGGGGAGTCGGGGTGGGGGGGCTTGTAGGTGGGGTGGGGGCAGAGCCAGGCAGAGCAGGACCATCCCCACTGAACACCTCCTCATCCCTTCTTGCAGCCTGACACTCTAGGGGCTCTGCCCAACCTTCGGGAGCTGTGGCTGGACCGGAACCAGCTGTCAGCACTGCCCCCGGTGAGTGAGGGTGACCAGTCCTCCTTCCACCTGCTGCCTGTCCCTTCTCTGATCCTGTCCTGCCCTTAGGAGCTGGGGAACCTGCGGCGCCTAGTGTGCCTTGATGTGTCGGAGAACCGGCTGGAAGAGCTGCCCGCAGAGCTGGGCGGACTGGTGCTGCTCACTGACCTGCTGCTCTCTCAGAACCTGCTGCAGCGGCTGCCAGATGGCATTGGTTAGTGATGCAGAGGGCTGTGGGGCGGGGCACACACAACCAGGCCCCAAGAAGGAGCATAGGAGCCTGGAAAACCCCTTGGGGATGCTCTGCATGATGTCAACCAAGGTGCTAGAGGAAAGCTTTGAGGCAGGCCCCTGAGGAGGCCAAGGTCTGAGTGGGCATGAGCCTGTTAGAGAGCAGTGTCTATGGGTGAGTAAAACCCGTTGGGGAGTCCAGTGTGTTTCTTCAGGGAAATGGAGTAGGTAGGGCCCAGTTAGGTTTGCAGAGAGAGTAAGAAGAGCAGGTCAGACGTTCCTGGGGTTATCCAGAAGAAGTGACAGTTGTGGGGCACAGGGTGGGCTCTGGCTACCCCGACAGCCTGTTGGCTATTGGAAGGGAGATTGGGCACTCAGGTGATCCCTCGGCTCCACTCAGCTGTAGTGCCATGTCTCCTGATACTAGGTCAACTGAAGCAGCTGTCCATCTTGAAGGTGGACCAGAACCGGCTCTGCGAGGTACCTGAGGCCATCGGGGACTGTGAGAACCTCTCTGAGCTGATCCTCACGGAGAACCTGCTCACGGTGGGGCCTGGCAGGGAGGTGCTTTCAGAGTTAGCTTGGCACCTGCTGGGGGGGCACATTGTAGGGGATGCTGGTGGTGGCCTAGCTCCTGGGAGCCACTCGGGAAGGGCACAGGGGAGGAAATGTGCTGGCAGGGGACACAGTGGGGCAGGACTGGCAGGGCCAGGGCAGGAATTATTGCTGTTTGGTGTGGACAACTTGGGCTCTTTTTTCTGATACTGGGAAGAATGCAGGAAAGAGAGTGGATTTGCACGCAGTAGAGGATGAGTCAGGGGAGGAGGCAAAGCTGAGGCCATGGAGACAGGGTGGGAGCGGTGGGGATCCTGTCCCTAGGTTGAGGAGCCAGGACCTCTCTGTGGGCACGGTGTTTACAGGAGGTGCCCTGTCAAGGAGAGAGAAGGGGAGCCCCACCTGTGGGGCCCAGGGGATGGTGGCAGGCTAAGCCCTAGAGACTGAGGGGTGAATAGAGGCAAAAGCCAGCTGGGGTGTCAGAGTCATGACACAGCCCCGGCAGGTCAAAGCCAGAGAACCACTGGGGCAGAGCCAGGGCTTACAGGGTCAGGGGTCGTGTCCTGACCGGTGCTTTGGGCGTGGACACAGGTCCAGCTCTTAGATCTCAAGGGCTTTAGGGACTCTGACTAGAGTTGGTCCATTGTGTCTATCCTCTCATCTGCCCCCAGGCTTCTCCCCTCCCTCCCCCAACCCCTGGTGGCTTCTCCCAACTTCTGACTTCCCCTGGCCAGGCCCTGCCCCACTCTCTGGGGAAGCTGACCAAGCTGACCAACCTCAACGTTGATCGGAACCACCTAGAAGTGCTGCCGCCTGAGATTGGGGGCTGTGTGGCACTCAGCGTGTTGTCCTTGAGGGACAACCGCCTGGCTGTCCTGCCACCAGAGCTGGCCCACACAGCAGAGCTGCATGTGCTAGATGTGGCTGGGAACCGGTGAGTGCCTGCCCAGCCCCTGCAGACCTGGTGTGTCCCTGGCACACACTGACTATGCCCACTGGCCCTCCAGGCTGCGGAGTTTGCCGTTTGCGCTCACCCACCTCAACCTCAAGGCGCTGTGGTTGGCAGAGAACCAGGCGCAGCCTATGCTCCGGTTCCAGACCGAGGATGATGCTCAGACAGGCGAGAAGGTGCTCACCTGCTACCTGCTGCCTCAGCAGCCCCTGCCCTGCCTTGGTAGGTTGCTGGTGACTGGCAGCCTTGACCTGGGGTGGGCATCTTCAGGTGAGGCCAGGAGGCCACCTGGGCCACTGACACGCACCTCCTGCAGAGGACCTGGGGCAGCAGGGGAGCCCCTCTGAGAGCTGGAGCGACACCCTTCCAAGCCGTGTCAGTGTCATCCAGTTCCTAGAGGCCCCCACTGGCGACGAGGATGCCGAGGAGGCAGCTGCTGAGAAACAGGTATGGGAGGGTGGGGACTCTGGGCGGCATAGTTGCACCCCTCCCACCTGACCCCTACCCTGTTCTGTTCCTCATCCCTATCCCCTGTGCAGGGCCTACAGCGCAGGGCCACACCTCACCCCAGTGAGCTCAAGGTGATGAAGAAGAGTGTCGAGGGGCGTCGGAGCGAGGCCTGCCCTGGCAAGCCAGAGCCTGGGCCACCCCCACCCCCAGAGGAGGTGAGCGAGAAGCCTTGGCAGCCTGGAGCCCCACTCCCCTTTAGGGAGCCTGGTATCCATCTGGGCATGGGGCAGGGGATGCTGGGGCAGCACAGGAAAGGGGGAGGGGATGGGCTACCAGGGAGATTGTAGGAACAGGCAGGTAGCTACAAGGTGAACTGGAGAGGAGTACCAGTGATGGGACATAGTGTAACTCTGTGGGGCTCAGGGCAGCGGGGGCTCAGATTGGAGGCAGGCACTTGGTGAGCCCTAGTGGCACAAAGTAGGGCAGTTTGGCCCTGTGGGCAGGGCCTCTGGCATTTTCCCCAGGAGCCTATGTGGCTGGCAGGGGAAGGGTTTGGTGTTGCGGCAAACTTGAGTCTGCTCACTGGAAAGCTTCTAACATCATTGCCCCGCATTGCAACAGGACCAGTGGCCAGGGCCGGACAGGGGGCATGTTGGGCTGGGCAGGGCCACCACCAGTCTGAGGAGAGGGCTCAAGTTGGGCAGGCCTTTTCCTGGGAACTGGCATGGTCCTCGTTCTTGCACTCTTGGAAACAGGCTTTCTTAAGGACCCTCTGTGCCCACAGCTATGGAGTAGTTCCACTGGAGATGGGACAGGGAATGGCCATGAGAGGGTGCGCCTGTCACCATGCTGTGGCAGGGGTGGTGGGAAGCCCGGGAAGGATGCGTATGGGGGCGAGCTCTGTGCAGCTTGATGCCACCGCCTGCCACAGGGCAAGAGGCTGAGTACCGAGTCTGGCCTGAGCGGAGGCTCCCAGCCATCTATCAGCACAGCCTCCACGGGCGAGCCCACAAGCCCGGGGGCTGAGCTTCCAGGGCTGAGCCACCAGGAGGCCATGCTGGCTGACCAGGAGGAAAGCACCGAGGAGGACTATGAGGAGGTGAGCAACAGCAGGGGAGGGGCAGGCGGGCTGTGGTGGGGCCTGGCCCAAGGACAGGTACACAGCTGGGGCTAGTCTCAGTGTGGGTGGCAACTGGGCCATGGTGGATATGTAGGGGCTGTGCCGCAGGACGGACCTTGGAGAGGTGCCAGACGCTCCATGGTCACTGACCCCAATTGTACATGCCACTGCCCCACCCTGGACTCTTCTGACCACATGGTGGTCCTCAGCATCAGGCCCTGGTGGTCCCTGTGTCTCTACCTAGGTGCCATGTGTCCACCTGGCCTTCTCAGAGCTGAGCCCGTGTGTGCCCCTCACTGGGCACTTGTCCTGAGTCCTTGTCATCCAGCAGGGAGCCTTTGAAAGCCTCTGTTTATCACTAGTCCTATTCAGCAGGGTTTCCCTGGGCCAATGTGGACACTTGGCCATACGGCCTGGTGCCTGTGACGGGGCGGGAGGATGGGGCCAGGGCCACACTCGCCCTCACTTTCATGCCATGTAGCCCACAGTGCACTTCGCAGAGGACACACTGCTGCCTGGGGATGACGGAGATGGCCAGGAGGGGCGATTGCAGGCACCCTGGGCCCCGCCGGGTGGGAGGCAGCGGCTCATACGTAAGGACACGCCACACTACAAGAAGCACTTCAAGGTTGCCAGGCTGCCCCAGCCCGAAGCAGTCGTGGCCCTGCTGCAGGGGAAGCAGCTGGACGGGGAGCATCCCACAGCACCTCGGGGCTGGCACAATGGCCCCCACACATCTTGGGCCCCTCAGGCCCAGGAAGAAGAGGAGGAGGAAGAAGACAGGGTAGAGGAAGCGGAGGAGGAAGAGAAGGCTGAGGAGGAGGAGGGCGAGGCTACCACTGAGGAAGATGAGGAGGAGGCCATGGCCTCCGCGCCCTCTGTCAAGGTGGGTCCCATCCGCGCCCTCCCCTGACCCAGGCTCTCCTGCCCTCATGGGGCGTTAGGGCTGTGGCACGTTGAGGCCAGAGACCAGCCCAGGCCTGCCACTGACTGAGCCCTTAAGTCAGGCCTGGGCCCACTGACCCCTGGCTGCCTGGAGGTGGTGGGCATGTGCATGCCATGGTAGGCAGTGGTAGGCAGTGGTAGGCAGTGGTGCCCCGACGTGCTCCCCCAGGCCCTGGTGTCGGCATCAGTCCACACTCCTGGCAGCTTTGTGGGTAGCATTTGCCTGACTTGCCTGTGGACTTAGGCAGCTCAGCAGGGCCGTGGGTGTGTAGGGCCTGGGGCTGCTGACTCTCAGGACCCTTCTGCGTTGGGCACTGACTCTGGGCTTGAGGCCCCTCAGCTGGCCTTGTGGCCTTTTCCTGGGGGTTTGGCGGCAGGCCTGGTCCTTCTGCCTTGTCAGGCCTTCTGGATGCTCCGGCAGACCCACAGGGCACTAGCATGGCCCTCCCTGATCCTCAGGCTTGCTCTCAACAGCTCACAAAGGGTCTTGCCTGCTCACAAGGCATGCTCAGGTGCCAGGGGAAGCCTGGGCTGCTCCAGGCCCCCTACTCCCTGCTCCTCACTATTCCCTAACCCAAAGAACAGAATGATGGCAGAACAGCCAGGCCTGGGCTCATCTCTGCCCTAGAGCGTCCCCCGCACGGCTTCCAGGACAGGAGGCACCATGCAGGGATAGCGCCAGGTCCTGGGGAGCGCTCATCGCGGGAGCTTGGTGTGGCCTTTCTTCTGTCCTTTCTGCTTATGGTGGGGGCTGGGCAAGGTGGTGGTGGTGGCCCCTGGCGGTGGCTAACCTGCATGCCTCGCTGGTCCTGTCCTAACAGGGGGTGTCGTTTGACCAGGCCAATAATCTGCTGATAGAGCCTGCCCGCATTGAGGAGGAAGAGGTCTGTACTGCTCGCTGCTGCTCGCGCTCTGGCCCTTGGTCACTGCCAGCCTTGCTTCCTGGGCTGCAGGCTCTTGCCTTTCCCTACCCCCACCGCCTGAATGCAGACCCCCTCCCAGAAGAGTTCCCAGCAGCCCCCACAGACCTTGGTCCTAGGGCATAGTCCCATGGGGCCTGCTGGTCTTGGTGGGTAAGCACAGCTCAGCCCCAGGGCAGTTCATCCCAGTAGGGCCAAGTGGCGGTGCTGGGCTTTTTCCATTTCCCCACCTATGATGGCTCTGTGAACCTTGAGACCATCGATTCTGGAGAATTAGAATCAGCCCTCACTGTCCGGAGGGCAGGCAGTGAGGCCTCAGAACTCTGTCACCCAGAGGCAGCAAGCCCTGGACACATCACACTGTTCTGTGGCAGCATATGCCTGCTGAGCTTTCCGGCCCTTCTCTAGCTGCCCTGTGCCATGCTGTCTGTGGGCATGGCTCAGGACCCAGTGCACCTGCTCAAGGAAGAGCTGCAGGTAGCCATCGGCAGCTCTGGCCACTTCCTGCTGGGCACCCAGGCAGCCCCCTGCCTGTCCTGGCCCTCCCAGACATGTTGTATCCATTCTGTTCCCAGCTGAACCTGACCATTGTGCGGCAGACTGGGGGCTTGGGCATCAGCATCGCAGGGGGCAGGGGTTCCACACCCTACAAGGGGGATGATGAGGTGAGCAGCTGCTACTGGGTCCAGGCTCCTGTGGGCCCTTCCCTGCCCCACCTGCCTCCCTCAGCTCCACCTCTTCTGTGTCACCTACTTCTCACTTTGGACTTACAGCTCACTTTTTCTGGGTGCATCACTTGCCCTTAGGCCCCCAGCCATCAGAATACCCATGTTTTTGGACATTGCTGGACATGGGGGTCAGTCTCAAGGACTTGATGGTTAGAAAAACCAAGGCAGCCCACAGGTGCGCTCTCGCGGTGCTGTGAGGCCTGAGAACAGCCAGAGGGTGTCATGTCCATCATGTCTATGTTCTCCGTGCAGCCTTCTCTTGGGTTGATCTGCACCTTCCATCTGCCTGGCTCTTAGGACCCCACAATAGCCTGTGCCTGGCCCACTGTCCCCTCCCCATGCCATCTCCCTACTTGGGGTATCTGGGCCTTTCATGGCCACAGCTGGCCCCTCCCAGAGGGGCTGAGGCCAAGGGCCCAGGCTCTGCCACTTTCCAGGGCATCTTCATCTCCCGGGTGTCTGAGGAGGGCCCTGCAGCCCGCGCTGGGGTCCGAGTGGGCGACAAGCTCCTCGAGGTGAGTCATCACGTAGTAGCTAAGCCCCTGGAAGTGCATGTGGTCCACTGTTGGGGTGTTGAGCTGCCTCCCTCAGGCTGGCCCCAAGCTCAGACCCCATCCCCAGGGTAAGGCCCTGGAAGCCACTGGGGGAGGGACCTGGCTGCTCCAGGAGCACAGTCCTGTCTGGGGGGGACTATTCTGGGGCAGACCAGGAAGGTGACCAGACCCCTCCTGGGCAGGGGCTGTCCAGTCTGTACAGGGGTGTGGGGAGCTCCCAGGAGGCCATGTGAGGGCAGGCCTGGGGCCCTAGCCAGAATGGTGTTTTCCGATGTTGCATGGTCATGTTCTCTGGCTTAGGCCTTGCCCTGATCTTTGCATCGAAACTCCTGTCCCTGGATGGTCAAGGTAGGGGTGGGAGTTCGGAACCTAGTGACCTCAGGTGCTCTCCATTGGATGGCTCAGGTGCAGCACGAGGGGGCCATAGGTGCGGACTGGCTGCAGAGGTGTCTGCCTGCCTCTTGTGGCCAACCTGTGTCCTGACCCTCAGGCTGCATACAGGGGTTTCTGGGACCTGGCTGGGGAGAAGAGCACAGCACCCACCAGGATCCCATGGGATGCTCCAAGCTCAGGCACCTTGCCCTGGACCTCAGACTCCCTGTCCATGGAGGGGGCAGCACTTGGCTGTCAGGGTGGCTGTGGCTTGATCCTGATGTACAGCATGGCCTCTGTTCCCCACTGCCCACAGGTGAATGGTGTGGCCTTGCAGGACGCTGAACACCATGAGGCAGTGGAGGCGCTCCGGGGGGCTGGCACTGCTGTACAGATGCGCGTGTGGCGGGAGCGCATGGTGGAGCCTGAGAATGCAGTCACCATCACACCTCTGCGACCTGAAGACGACTATAGTCCCCGAGAGAGGCGGGGAGGAGCAGTGCGCCTGCCCCTGCTCCAGCCAGACACCACTGGGCCCCTCCGCCAGCGGCACGTGGCCTGCCTCGTGCGCAGTGAGAAGGGGCTAGGCTTCAGCATTGCTGGCGGGAAAGGCTCTACACCCTACCGGGCTGGCGACGGGGTAAAGCATGGGGGCCCAGAGCCGGGAGTTGGAGCTGCCCATGGTGTCCACACCAAACTCACTAGTGGCTGGGGCTCTGCTCCCTTCTTCTCTGCAGGGCATCTTCATCTCCCGCATTGCTGAGGGAGGTGCTGCCCACCGGGCAGGCACACTGCAGGTTGGCGATCGCGTCCTCTCGGTGAGTTTGCAGGGGGCTGGCTGGTGCCTTCTGACCCATCCACTCCTCGGCTTCCCTGATCCTGGGTATCCTCACAGATCAATGGAGTGGACGTGACTGAAGCCCGGCATGACCATGCTGTCTCTCTGCTGACTGCTGCCTCCCCGACCATCGCCCTACTGTTGGAGCGCGAGAATGGGGGGCCCCTTCCTCCCAGCCCTGTGTCACAGTCTGGCTTGTCCCCCACTGCAGCCACTCCTGGGGAGCCTGCACTGCCCAGGCTGGCCCCCAGCCTGCTAGCAACTGCACTGGAAGGGCCATACCCAGTGGAGGTGAGACACCCACCTTCATCCAAGTGTGGAGCTATGACTCTCCAGGACCCCCATGGCCTCCCTGGTGTATGCCCTTTCCACATGGGCCCTCTGAGACTGGGGTTTGAATACAGCCTGCTTGGTGTGGTCTCCCACATCCCCCAGCATGGCCTCCCTGTTAGCACCCATGTTAGCCACTCTGAGGTGGCCAATAAGAGCCCCCGCAGGGGACCCCACAGACACACTGGGCCACTCCACACACCCCTACATACTGCAAGGCCATACCTGTGGGCAGAGGGGAACAGAGGCCGTGCTGCCCCGAGGATCCTGCTGTGCTCTGGGGAGTGTGCCAGTAATCACCTTCCTCCCTTGTATCCCCTTCTCTGCCCTGACTGAGGCCTAGCTCTTGTCTCCAGGAGGTCTGTCTGCCAAGAGCGGGGGGCCCACTGGGGCTTAGCATTGTCGGGGGCTCTGACCACTCCAGCCACCCGTTTGGTGTCCAGGAGCCTGGTGTGTTCATCTCCAAGGTAGAGTAGGCCCAACTGGGCAGCTCTGTGCAAAGAGGACAGTCTCGGGCATGGGTCAGTACAGCCCCAGCCCACCAGACACTGTCCTCTTTCCCTCCCAAATAGGTGCTCCCGCGGGGTCTAGCTGCTCGCAGTGGCCTGCGGGTTGGGGACCGCATCCTGGCAGTGAATGGGCAGGACGTGCGAGAGGCCACACACCAGGAGGCAGTCAGTGCCCTGCTCCAGCCCTGCTTGGAGCTGTCCCTGCTGGTGCGGAGAGACCCTCCACCGCCAGGCATGCGGGAGCTCTGCATTCAGAAGGCCCCAGGGGAGAAGCTGGGCATCAGCATCCGTGGGGGTGCCAAGGGCCATGCAGGGAACCCCTGTGACCCCACCGATGAAGGTATCTTCATCTCCAAGGTGAGGGCCCTGCCTGGGCTGGCCCTGAGCCCCTACTCCCACAGGTCTTCCCCAGCAGCCTGGCCTTGCCCACTCTGGGTCTTCCCACAGGTGAGTCCCATGGGGGCAGCTGGGCGCGACGGCCGGCTGCGTGTGGGGCTGCGGCTACTGGAAGTGAACCAGCAGAGCCTGCTGGGCCTGACACATGGTGAGGCTGTGCAGCTGCTACGCAGCGTGGGTGATACGCTGACCGTGCTAGTCTGTGACGGCTTCGACACCAATACCACCTCAGCCCTGGAGGTCAGTGCCCCACCCCCAGACCAGATCCTGCCCTTAGTACAGCCCCCAAGTATTGTGATGGGCTGACCCCCAGGTGGCTGGGCAATAGATCCTTTCCAGCCATCTGCATCTGGAAAGTGGTTAGTGACCTGAGGCAGCCCTGGGTGGCAGTGGGAGCAGGGGCTGGGGCCGTGCAGCCACTTCCTCCTGAGCCCTGGGCATCAGGCTGCCTGGAGGCCCTGGCCTGGGTAGGACAAGGTACATGAGCAGATGGGGCTTGTTCAGGGCCAGCAAGATGTGCTTCTAAGAGAAAAGGTGGGGCCTCTGGCCTGCAGGTGAGCTGGGGATGACTCGGACCCCTGCCCAGAGCCCACTGGCCAGGCTGAGACTACTCGGGACTCAGCCTACAGAGGTGCACAGGGGTGGTGTTCTGCACCCTGGTGGCATCCTGTTTTTCCAGCTTGTCCTGGTCGTGGGGTGCCTCTCCAGTGGCCCCAGCAGACAGTTCTCAGATGTAATGTCTATGCCTTTCCTTCACTCTCTGGCCCCCAAAGCAGAAGCCAGTCCCATGCAGCCTCTAGCCCCAGGCTCACTTGTCCCAATCCCTCTGTCTTGTCCCTCTGCCATATCCAGCCCTCATTACTGTCCATTTGCCCAAACAGGGTTCTTAGGGCTCTTCACTTACAGTGGCCACTGCTCCACTCAGAGGGTGTCCTGTACCCAAGATGTGAGTAGCTGGGTCACTGTTCCCTGCCAGCACAGAGCAAGGCTTCTGCTGTCTTGGACAAAGCTGGTACCATTTCTGAGTCTCCCCCCACTCCCTGGGCATTGTATTGTTCTTAGCTGTGTCTGGCAGGTGGGGCCCCCTGGCAGCAGGGGTAGGAGCCTGTAGCCGAGCCCTTCCTCTGCCTATCAGGAAGTATCTGCCTCCCCTCTCATGACGCTCATTGCCTTTATGGCATAGGTGCTGATTTCCCATCAAATAGGGCCTGAGTGGTCATCTTTTGTTCTGTGGGACAGGTTTTTTTTCCCTATGTCACTTTTCCATTTTAAGATGGTGTCTTTTGAGTTACAAAACTAAATTTTTTTTTTTTTTTGAGACGGAGCCTCAGGCTATCCCCCTGGGTAGAGTGCCATGGCATCACACTCACAGCAACCTCCAACTCCTGGGCTCAAGCGAGTCTCCTGCCTC